AAATAGAAAAACAAAACGAAAACAAAGTTTGGAAATGAAATCTTTCTGGTCTTCTTAAGAAGTGTGTAGTGAATGGAATCTCTTCTCATATAAATGTGATTTTTTACGATCTTTTATCGAATTTTTCTGTCTCGTATGTTTGTAAGCAAGTTAAAAAAAAAAAAAAATTCATAAAAGTGACAAATAGTCATTAAGATAAAGGAAGAAGAAGAAGAAAAAAAAGTTGGTTTTGTCGAAAAAAAAAAAAAACGAGCTGTGTTATTCTAGTTATATCGATAGCTCTTAAATAAGATTATAGAGATATCTTGATAACGCGCTGAAAAACTTTTATTGCGATGTTGCAACATCGCGTTACAAGTGTAAACTCCTTTTTCTGCAACTAAACTATTGGATAAACGCAAACAAAAAGCTCTGTAGTTTATCACATTATTATTTGTAAGTGCCGTTTTGAAGAGAATTTACGCGTCTTTATTTCAAAATGACTAAGAATTTGTAATTAACGCTGTTCGCGAATTGTCGCGTATTTTCTCTATCTATGCGAGAGAGTAACAGACTAGTTGCCCGGATAGCCAAGTGCGAAAACTCAAATTATAAAGCAAATCATTGTAATAGATTAAGTTGCTCGCCAATTGCTGTTGCGTTTTGTTTTTTATTTAACGCAACGAAAACGTGTGTTTTTTGTCAATTCGGTATTCAATATGCTGAGTTTTTTATTGTCAATCAATTGTTGTAGCCAATGTTCATGACAAGTGAGTCAGCAATATATGCGAGCGATAATGCGAGCAATGATTTTTATTCACAAGTTGAGAAAAATAATTTACAGGTTTATTGCCGAGACGAGTTGTTGATAACTCGCTGTTATTTATATTTCGAAAATTTGTTGCCGTGGCAAGAACGTACCGAAAAAGAGGACACACCCTTTTGTTACATCGCATTGAAAACTTAGCGAGCAATATTTGTGGCAAGTTGCCAACAACTTGCGCAACTCAGTGTTGCTGGCTATCCGGGCGTGCTTTCGCGCTTTTTATTATTTTATTCGCGATCTTCTCACTTTGTAGGCGCTCCTGAAAAATATATAGATATATATATATATATCTAGATGTTTCGTACACTTATTTTTGATAACTCGATTTCGACGAATTGCGTTTCGTATATAGGTTTTATAGCGTCTCTTTTATAATCTCTAGTTATTGATAAAAATATATTCCCCCCGTCCTTCCCCCCTCCCCC